TGTGCTCGTCTTACAGGGACTCTGGAGAAGGGATAAGTGAATTATGTATTATTACTCTGTAGCCTCTGCATATTGAAAAAGGCTGTCTTATGAAATTAGAATAAAAAGACAGTGACTGAAAAGTCTGTTTAAAAAATAATCTGTAAATCTATTCTCAGTAATGTATGTGGAGTGAAAGAAGTATGTTAATAATATAAAGAAGGTAAAAGAGTATCACGAATCCAGCTAATATTAAATAAAAGATGGAAATAAATTATTTAGTGCTTTTTCTTCTGAATTTCATGGGTGTGCACACGGGAATACTGCAACAATATTCACATTCATGTTATTCTGTGTTTAACCCCTGCATTGTGAGGCATTTTATTTTCATTAAAATCATGACAGAAAAGCTGTCAAGAATTCTCCTGTTTATTTAAAACAACAGAGATAAGAACACTATTTTCATTATTAAGACAAACAAACATTTCTATGGGGTACAAGGCTTCCTTTTCCACTGCATTAATCAACCAAACCTCATATACGTTAGTCTATCCAATTTCCCCGCCTGCCATTTCCTTCATTTCCAGGAAAGGTTCCTCCAATAATCTGCTTGAAAGCAATCATGGGAACTGGGCAGCAATATATGGCATATAACAGATGCATAGTATGAATGAGATCCTCTCCTAAATGCACTTGCATTAAAAAGCACCTTTTCAAAGAAGGGCAAAGCCATTAGAAGACTGACATGTCTGAGTCAGTCAGTGAGAAAGAAGCGAACACAATATGGAGCAGCTTACACTAATTAAAATGTATCCTTCAGCACCAGCAAGAAATTTGCAGTATTTAAGTCAACTTTTGCACAAAGCTAAAGCAACAGCTGCTTTATCTTTGAATACTCTGTTGAAGAGGATGCTTCATTAGCTTTAGTCATCTGAACTTACAAACACATGCTGGCCCCACCTTCGTTTTTTGTTTTGAGGAGCTTTGCTCCAAAATGACCAGAAACTCCATACTGTATTTACCTACAGTAGCTGTTCACAGAAGAACAGTATACAGAATGACAGGCAGATTTCTAACTAGCGTACATTAAACTACTAAGAGCAGGAGCTTTCTTGTTCTGCATATTGGTAAGGCAATTTGCCCAAAACCTCTTGGCACAAGTAGCAGATTAAATTATGCATTAAAGCCTACATTATCTATAGCTTCCGCCTGTGACATAAGAAGAAACACTGCAGAGACAATGGCTTTTATAAACCGTGATTCTAGATTTGCCTGGGGACCAAGACACAGCCTTCAGCTACTGTGTTCTCAGGGACAAAATGCCACCTGCAGCCAGAGCTCAGGAAAGAGGCCCCGGTGCCAGAGGAGAGGGTCACTCTGAGAACCTGGTTTGATGGGATCCAGCCCCTTCCATCACGAAACACCATGATTTCAGGAACAACGGCTGTGACACGCTACATGAAATGGTATCAATGTCCCATGTCAGTGAATCATCCAAGGTCCCTGTGTCTCGCAGTTCCTTGATGCTCCCAAACCATAAGTAATTTAAACTAATCAGATTTCTACATCATTCTCCTGTGGGTGCCTGAAATACCTCACCGACCTCTCCATTGCTTTCTAAGTCTTCAAAAACTTTTTAGAGGTTCCTGGATTCTTCCTTAACTGACTGGGCCAGTGCATTTTCAGCTCCAAATCCATAGTTACAGCAGAATAGGATCATCTAGCAGACATAAAGGCATGATAACCAAAAAATTGCTTTCCCGCTTTGCTATATGTCTGATTACATGTTCTCAGTCAATTTTGAGAAACCTGAACTTCATTTGCCTTATCCACAAAGCACCAACTTTGCCATTATGTCTCACACTAACCCGAGGTTCTCGAAGCTAAGCACCAGCAGAAAACACAGCATTTCTCCTTGAAGGAAACCAGCATGGATGGAAAACTGCTTCTAATGTTGTGGAGATCCCTGGAGATGTTTAAAGGCCATCTGGAGAGGGCCCTGGGGAGTCTACTCTAGGTAACTCTGCTTGAGCAGGAGGGTCGTCCCTTCCAAACTCAACTGTTCTGTGATTCCGTGAGATGAAAGTGCTAAAGTTAACCCCCAAAAGTCAGAAAAGGATCAGAAATGTTATAAGATTTTAAAACTACTAAAGGCAGAGGTGAGTGCCTATTGTGAATCCACAGTTTACAAGTTACTCTTTAAAAAAACACTAAAACTCAGTAGCAAAATAAGTTAATTCTCCCCCTCCTCTTTCTCTCTCTTACCCTTCCATTCTTTTAAAATTATGTTTCTTGTGATTCTGATCACGATATTATTGCCATATCAATCTACTGAAGGCACAAGCCTGTTGCTACTGTTCTAAAAAGATAATGCAGTTAAATTAAAATGTTAAAAAGTATCAGAAATAATTCATTTCCTCTGACATTGTCCTCTCTTGAATATTTAAACCTGTGCAATTAGACATGGAGAAAATTGAATCTACTGACTCTGAAATCTCAGATATTGTTAAGAAGACATTTTCCCAGTGTCTATAAAGGAAAATCATCCCTTTTAAGAACCCTGTCTTTAGGGAAAAGTCATTCATTTATATGAAGATGTCTAAGTGTCTCTTCCCATCTGCAGTCCCAGTTACAGATACACAGATACAAAAGAGCAAAGAGTTCACAGACATTATCCCCAAGGTCTACAATTGATTTTAGTTAGTTTGAAGCAATTTTTCAGGAGCCTTGACAAGTGCCAGGGTTCAGCAAGAAGCTGCCATACTTACTGCTTGAGGCAGACACTTCTTTCGGGCTGGAGGACATGGGCTGAGCACACATCTGACAGAGGCAGTCCCTTCCATTAAAGGTAACCCGATCACCTGGTGGAAATGGGCGCCTGAAGAGTTAAAGAGAAAAACGTATTTTAGCCAAGGTTATGCCAGGAATCATCTTCTATTCCCTGTGCCTCCAGTCTGCTACCTTCCCCTAGTGCGATCAATATTTTACAGAAACTCAGGCCAAATGATTGCTGCAACGTGGCCTTGGCAAATGCAGCATGGGAAGAAATCCAATCCACAAGATTCAAGCAGAGCAGAGGTTAGACGGGCCCAGTATTTTGGTTTCAGAAAGTTATCACACATCCTTTATCTGAAGGGGAGAAGACAGCGAAATCCTCTTAGACACAACAGCTAAATTTATGATAATCTCACCATTGTAGGTAGCAAACAGTACAGAAAAGTACTCAAAGGAACAGCTTGAATTGGTTGAGGGGCCAGTGGGGAACGTGGAACTATTCACTGAAAAATACACGTCATCTATATTGAGCAATGAAAGCAATGATCATGTTGCAGTGGATGCAGAGACACATAAAACAAAATGTTACCCATGTTCCTCCTCCCAGAGCTTTAAATTAGGTATCCAGACTACAGTGCCTGTGATTGCTACCCATGCAGATGGGATCAGGGGAAAGGTAAGGCTGCACAGACTATGGAAGATGAGTTTATCTGCTGAAACCCCCAAAATCTTACGCATGTGTGTTAGGCAGAAGTAGACACTGCTTTTAACTCTTATTTGGGGTATAAAACTGAAAACAAACAACGGTTTGTGGGGGCACTGCACTAAAATGAGAAACGTCTCTAACTACAAATCTTTTGAGAGGTAAGAAGCTTTAGCTCCTGACTACATAACCCCTACACCACACCTCACTCCAGATTGTGATTAGCAAATGAATAGCAGTTTTTAAAAAAAGAAAAAAAAAAAAAAAAAGAGGCATAGTTCTAGCTTTCCTTCCCCTGCTATTCCTAAGTGTGTCATAAACAAATCAGCAGCAAAATTGCCTTCCATGAATCTATCTAGATGACTCATTTTTTGTTCATTCAACATAAAAAGGCTGGTACAAGACAATATACAGAAAATTGATGCCATATTTCATGCCCATATCATCTATTTTCACACTGTATTTGGGAGCTAAATCTGTAACATACACAGGATATGAATCGCCGACATGTAGTCAAATCACACACAGTATTTAAAAACAAATAGAAAAATGATCCAAATACATTATATGGAAGAGTCTTGAAAAACGTACCAGACTACAGTTCAGGGTAATTCCTGTTCTCCCTCTGGCATTAGGTTTCAGACAACTCAAGTGTTCTTAACTACTGGGAGATACAAACCCCATCCAGTCCAAGCACTCTGCCTTCTGGAGAACCCCACTGTCCTGTTCTTTCCCAAAACTACAAAGCAAAAGGCTCTCTGCCTTTCGGGTCCCCCTCTCCATGAGGTCTATCTGCATCTCTCTCATGCTTTTTATGCATTCCTCATGCAAAACATCAACTTATTTAAAAATTCAGTTTTACTTGCAGGGCTCAGAAATGCAGAAATGAACACCCTGGTAGCCTTAATAATTTCAGTTTAGTAAACTGTAAGTACAGATAATATAGCTGCCTTTCTGCAGAATAGAGATGGCACCACAGTATCACTTTCACTTGATGCTCAGATTATTTTCACTACTATAAAAAAATATGTACCCCTATTACAAAAACCTACAGAAGTAAGTTTATTTCTTCAAGTGTATCCAAAACACTATACTGGTTTCCATAGCAATAAGGCACATACTAAAACAGATTAAATTCTATCCTAGTATCTGTGCCTAGGGCCAGTTAATAACGAACACCACGCACAGGGACGTCAGGTAGAGTTCAGGGAGTAAAGCTCAGCAGAGATTTTTCAAGTATGGAACTCCTTGAATGAAGAAGCTATGAGATCATGTGGAATACTTGCCCTAGGGTCTCCTAATTTCTGAAATAATATCTTAGTGAGAGTTAGAACAAAAATAAAATTAAAAGTAGCACCTTCTGGCCCATCCATATGGCTAACTCCTTTGTATCGATTGCATAACTGAAGGTTGATTCTCATACTGGACTTGGGGAGAAGAGGGAGACTGCAGTAGCTTCTAAGTGTCGTGTTCTTACATGATGTGCAAAGGAGTCTTAGCTTGTTTTCAATTGTTTAACTATTCTTAAAGCCTAAACAGCTTCTGAATTGTACTATGCAGGATTTTCCATGGCCTTATTTTCCACATCATACTAACATGATCACCTTAGTTCAACCCAACACGTCTATTATCTCAACATGTCAGCCCAATATTCAGTTCCCTCATATACGAGAGCAACCTTTCGAGAACAGCAAGCTGTATGTAACAGAAAAGCTTCGTGTCCTAAATAAACCCGTGGTGCTTTGAAGACTCGCAGAACTTTTTTAAGAAAATGCATCCTAAAAAAATATGCCTTGAGCCTTGTGTCTCAGGGTGATGCTATCCTTCTCCCTGTGTTTCTTGTACTGGGTTCATGCAATGCCAACGGAAAGGGATCACTTACTTGCAAACAGTGCAGGCAAAGCAGTTGGGGTGGTAAGTTTTTCCCAGAGCTGTCACTACTTCTCCTTCAACGAACTCCCCACAGCCGTTGCAGCGGGTGCCGTACATGCGCTGGTAATCCAGGGTACAGAGGTAGTCCCCGTTCTTAATGAAAAAGCCTCCTTGTGCCAAGTCACAGCCACACACTGAAAAAAAGCAAATAGACAGGTTGGAAAAATACACCTACCAAGGATGCCAAGGATGTCTGACACATGAGTTGAGGCCAGTGGTCTTGGTTCCTTCCATCAGATCCTCATCTTCTCCTCCTGTCATTATGTGCCTTGGCAACCCAGTAAAATCTCTGGCTACAAGAGAGCTTGTAACAAGAAGTTTCTTGGAGGAATCTGCATAATCATAACTTCACACTATTATTTCGAGCCAAAACCTCAGCTACCTCACACCATCCAGTTAATTAACACATAGAAAACTGGAACTTGAGATTCTCGCTGGTATGCTATTAAAGATATGATTAGGCCTGAGAAACTCAGGTCTGAGTAGAAGACACTAGCTCTCACATAACTGTTTTTATGATTTCCAGTCACTCTTTCTGTTGCTGTTTCTTTTTTGTTTGTTTTAATTTGGAGTTGCAAGAGCACATCTCAAATTCAAAAAAAGTCCTCACAGAAAAACTCTGTTGTAGTGAGTCTGCCCTTCTGATCTCAATCTAGGGTCATAGCTTAAACTAGACAGCTCATTCTCTGAGCAGGTGAATCTTAGGGCTGGACCTGCAATAACTGCCACTGCCCTATATGGGGAGGAGAAAAATCTTGAAAATAGCTGCAAAGCAACCAGGAGGAGTTACAGTGGAGGCACATTTTAGTCTAGGAAAGACACTAGAGACAGGAAAGACAAGGCATGCCTTCTAAGATAGCTTTTGCATTGCATTTACTTCTGATCATCACCAATACACAGGTTAGAGGGTGCTTTACAGATCACTTGTTCTTGCCTACATTTATAATACGGAGTTTGAGGACAGAAGATAACATGAAAATAATGCAAAGAGCTCTAGCATGTTGCCACTTGCCTGTCAGAGTAAAAGTTCTACCAGTCAAAATCTCACTGAAAACAACCAAGTCCTCCAGCAGAAAACTGATTTGATCAAGATCTTCAGTCAGGGCTTAGAAGAGGCCTCAATCACATGCAGAAGGACCTATTCTTTCTACTCAACAAACTTCAGTGGTCAAACACTAACTACAGAGCGAAGAAATATGTCACCCAGTAGACTTAACAGGGAATACAGTGCTGTAGAAGGTAAATTAAATGGTCAGGAGGAAAAAAAATCCTCCAAGAGACAAATTCCACATGGCACTTGGACTAGAGGGCATTTTCCCAGAGGTATTCACTGTTTTTCTGTTTTGTTTTGGCAACCAAAGCCATCACTTAGAGTTCTTTCTCCTATGGGAATAAGGGAAAGACTCAGGAAGAAGCTAGGAATGCAACAGCTACTTTTTGTATGGGCTCAAGCAATCACTTTAGCTCCAGATCACAAACATGATGGTCCTACCTTGACTCGGCTGCAATATCACAGTACAGCCAACAGGGCAGGCCCTAATTCTGATCTAGCTACCTGGCTTAAATATTTTGAATATTTGTATGAACTTGAAATGCTAAAGCTTATATAGGATAATTTTATCAAATAGGAGAACAAGAGTATTATGAATTATTAAGAAATATTTCCTCCTGTATCCCACTTCCATGTTGTAAATTGCTAATTGCCTTGTGCCTGAAGAGCAATAGGTGTGTGTGGAACAGACTTTGAACCTTTGAGTCCTGAAATCATCTCCCAGGTCTTTAACGTAGAGGTGCATCTGCTTTAGCTTCCTCAAAGGCAGAACATAGTGGCTTGTCTCCAGGAGGCTAGAAAATAAAGACACCCACAGCACGAGAGACTCTGCCCCCTTCCCTGTGACTTGACCATGAAAGCAGCAGTTTGTGCTCCTGCAATCTTGCTTTCACTTCAGGGACTGGAGATAAGCCGGGGGGGAAGGATTCTATAAATAGAGCAGATATTACGGTGCCATAAACTTGTACACGTTTTTCCTGCAATTGGATGCTTTAAGAAGTTTCATGCTGGGGCTTTCTTTTGAAATAACGAGTATTTTGGAAATGTGGTATGGTTTGGATTAACTCTTCCATCTCCACACCCCCAGAGAATGCTGCGCTGCTCTACCACCCTGCACCACTACTCTTCCCACTGCTTTTAAAAGTAGAGGATTTCAAAACGTTCAGAGTAATCTTATCGTAGGAATTCAGACATGAACCCTGGAAGAAGTCTGTGCTGAAAAGGGCCTGCCGTTAAAAATCCCCCGAGCTCAGATGACTGCAGTATTGCAGACACAGCCCAACCACACGTGCTTTATGGTATAGTCAACCAAGCTACACAACAGCACGCTGGATGTTGAACAAGGCAAATAGGAAAATGCCATCATCGATGTGAGACTCAATTTCACATTTCTGCTTTAACTTGGGTTGAACCAAGGACTTGAACCTACCTATTCGACATCTCACAGTAGCACCAAAAACACTTGACTGCTTGCTTCCCCAAGGGCTTAAGAAAAGCCCTCCTAATTCACTTTTCTGAGAAAGCATAAACAACAGCTGTTGGATGACTTAAAATAGATATATATAAAATATATGTAATATGCACATGGTATTTCCCAAGCTTTTTGGTTTTAGCCACTTTATAGTGCTGAATCTCTGCACTTCAGTAAGAGCACAGTGGTGTAGGATGGCAGCTTAAGCCTTACTCTGCAGGATACTCACGACACATCACTCCCCATAACATTTGAGTATCTTCAGAGCGAGTATCAGAAATTCTGACTATTAAGGGATAAATGTATAAGCAGCATTCTTATTCCCTGCAGTTTTAAAGTTTTTGAAAAATTAAAACAAGAAATACACTAGGATCAATTCCCATCTCTCTCTCTGCCACAAATTCCAAGCATGATCTTGAGCACAACAATCATTCTCTGCCTTGTTATAATGGGCTAATACCCTGCTAGTCACCTGGCTTGAAAATTAAAATTGCAAGTTCTTTGGAGCAGGGCTTGCAAATCCTCTGTTTGGTAATGCCATGCCCCAAAGGTATCTGATGAGTGTTATTGTAATGATAATTAATAGTAATAAACAGAATGCACTAAAATGCAAGTTAGAATTGAAGCAGTTCAGTGTTTGCATTCCTCAGGTTCCACATTCCTTTATGGAACAGATTCAATATTTCATGTGCAAACAAATTACATTTCACAGTCACATTAAATCCACACGCAGCCAAAACTTAATTATCAGAGGCTCGGGAGAATTATAGAGAACTATTGTTAAGGCTCTGTTATAATGCCACAAAATGCTCCGAGCTGGTTTTCAGGTGTAATGCCAGGAAAAGAAAAAAACAACAAATAAACAAAAACTCTTCTACTCTTCCATAATTTTCTGCACATCTCCTTTTTGTTTAAGATACTCTTTTACAAATTAACAGCTCAACATTATGTAACCATTAAGCAGAAAGTCAAATGGCCTCTACCCCTCGTCACTACTTGAGACCCTTCCCGAGTCGGGAACCGTCTAGCCGTTACCCTGAAGGTGCAGGAGCAAAGCCTACGCCTTGGCATCGCTAACTTGCTTTTCCCAGTTACCTTTGGTGAATCCTTGCAATTCGAACATTGAGAAATTACGTTAATGCCTAAAAGCTCCTAGAGATTACCTGATCATCCCGACTGTTGGCGAGTGGTGACAGGAATGAACGCAGGGTTGCTATTGCCTGCACAGCGGTCGATACTAGATGCTTCAGAAGGTGCTAAATTCATGAAGAGCTATGAAGTACTAATGTATCTACTTGAAAGCTTTTTTCCTAACCTTCTTTAGTTCGTATTTTGGCTTGTAGCTGGAGTCAAAGTCCATACATATTTCAGCTTCAAGCTGAAGGCCCTCAGCACGCTACAGGATCTGCCCCATAAGCTGTATGTATGATCTCGTGGGCTCTTTACTGTGGTTCCCAGTTCTACAACTGAGTATCTGAGCTCTGAAAAACTCACTTCAACTGCGTAGCCAATTGCTTTCATGAGGCACGATGATCCAAAGTGACATTCAATGGAACCTCTGTTCTGGCTTCTCCTGGAAAAGTGAGCTTCAAAGTATCAGATAGAGCCACAGGGCAGATAAATCAATGCTTGCAAAACCCCCACCACAAATATGAGATGTAGGGACATTCACTCAATTATTTAGCTCTCTCGCTTTTGCTTGGCCATAGGGATTCAAGCCTGGTGAAAAAAATTGGTTGATAGAATTGTTTGGAAAGTCTTTTAAGGGCAATCATCATAGTTACTAAAGAGAGACACCTCCCTTGCCTTTTCTGCATGAAGGCTCCTTTCAGTCTCACCTCTTTTGCTCTTTATCTGGACAATTGAGAATGAGTTAAATCCTCTCACACTGGTAAAGGGAGGAATTCAAGCACAAGTGGAACTGCTTGTGATATGAACCACCATCTGCCTCGTCATTTTGGGCACATCACAGGAAACCACCAAACTGCAGGAATCGAGGATGAGTCCTGGTAACTGCCCACAACAAATTTGATCAGAAATTCCGTACTAATCACAGCTTTGGGCTACATCGGCCCAGTAAGGGTCACCCAGATCATTAGCATCCACAGTCCAAGAAACACTTCTCCAGTCTTCACTTGCAGTGAGAGACAGATTGAATAAAAATGATAAACAGGACTGTATCCCCTCAAGCTTAAAAATAATGGCTTAGCACATTTATTTATGACCATTGTAGAAATATCACAGAGAGGAATGACTGCACGTGATTCTTTTACATAAAACCAAAGATCATTTGCCTGGCATCATTCATGCCACTAACTTCAGCTGAGACAAGGAAGAGAAAACAGCTGTGATCGATACATATGCACAGCAAAACCCAACAGTGTGATCTAGGCAATTACTGTGATAAAATATCATGCCATCAAAAAAGAATTTCCAGATGATGACAGTTAGCAGGAAACATCAAATTATGTTTCCCTTTTTTTCCTGATGGGAAAATATCTCCAAAAGAATTAATTAGTGAAGCCAAGAACAATGCATAATTCATGCTCAAGAAGGCAAAAAAAAAAAAAAAAAAAAAAAAAGAAGAAAGAAAAAAGCCACAGGTATTCTGT